ATTCCAAACCGACAAACTCGTGATTGCGCCGTCAAAACTTTCGACGGGATGATTTCAACTTCACCAATTAGAACCCTTGGTTCAATATTTTACTTGTAAAAGAAAGCAGAAACCCCTCTATCAAAGAAATCATTCTAGGAAACGCGAACTTGTTGTATCAACTTAGCGATATATACTCCATATGCAGGCGCTGGTAACATGTTGCTATTAAGAAATGGGAGGTTTATAATTTGAAAGCTTAAATCATCAATTGTATCGTTATATCTGTTATAAAAAAGCACTTCTTGTAAATTTCTACATGTTTGTCAATATATGAACCAGATGTAACTGTATTTTGTGCTATCTATTTTTAATTCAAGTTCAGTGGGATAAATGCATTCAATATCGTCAACAAACTTTGAATTATTTTATGAGAAGACATCATCTTTATGGTAGAATATAAAGTTAGAGGATAATGCTAGCTTTTCATTCTTCCTGAGCCGCTTTTATATAGTCTGTCACAAATGAATAAAGGAACAAGTCGACAGGAAGAGGAGCTCATCAAAAAGGAATGGCGATTGTTTGTTGAATAACATGCTCTCCAAACGTAACAAATATGTTGTCAATTAAAATTGCACTGAATTATAGGTTGTACCTTCAACAAGAGTCTGTTGTCAATTTAATTTCCTGGATGAGGTTCCAAAATGAGTTGTACTGCACTTTGGAACCTATACATATAGAGGATTGCTTTTCAATTGTATGCTTGTTTGTCAACATATTTGTTGGATGGAGCCTTAAACTTATCATGAGGAAGATGAATCTTTTTCTTCATAAAAGAGTTCAAACCAATTTGACTGCATTTCATGTTTTCAAATAGCTTTAAAGAGAGGCAAAAGATACCAAAGGGACATTCAAACACATAAGTCGAAAATAAACTGACAACGCCATGACTGAAAAAAAAGATCAACAGACAAACAACAATACACAAAACACAACATAGAAAACTCACGGCTGAGCAACACAAACCCAACCAAACAAAAACTATATGTGATCTCAGGTGCTCCTTAAGAATAGTTTACTTGTAAACAGAAACCCCTCTATCAAAAAAATCATTTTAGGAAACGCAAACTTTGGAATATGAATCAAGTTAGAGATATATACTCCATATGCAGGCGATGGTAACATGCTGCTTTTAAGAAAAAGAAGGTTTATAGTTTGGAAGAGGAGCTCATCAAAAATGAATGGCGATTGTTTGTTGAATAACGAGCCTTCCAAACGTAACAAATATGTTGTCAATTAAAATTGCACTCAATTAGAGATTGTACCTCCAACAGGAATCTGTTGTCAATTTGATTTCCTGGATGAGGTTCCAAAATGAGTTCTATTGCACTTTGGAACCTATACATATAGAGGATTGCTTTTCAATTGTATGCCCCATTTCTATTCTCAATGTTATTGTTTGTCAACATAATTGTTGGATGGAGCCTTAAACTTATCGTGAGGAAGATGAACCCTTTTCTTCATAAAGTAGTTAAAACAATTTGACTGCATTTCATGTTTTCAAATAGCTTCAAATAGAGGTGAAAGATACCAAAGGGACATTCAAACTCGTAAGTTGAAAATAAACTGACAACGCCATGACTGAAAAAAAAATCAACAGACAAACAACAATACACAAAACACAACATAGAAAACTCAAGACTGAGCAACACAAACCCAACCAAACAAAAACTATATGTGATCTCAGGTGCTCCTTAAGAATAGTTTACTTGTAAACAGAAACCCCTCTATCAAAAAAATCATTTTAGGAAACGCAAACTTTGGAATATTGTATCAAGTTAGAGATATATACTCTATATGCAGGCGCTGGTAACATGTTGCTATTAAGAAATAGAAGGTTTATAGTTTGGAAGAGGAGCTCATCAAAAATGAATGGCGATTGTTTGTTGAATAACGAGCCTTCCAAACGTAACAAATATGTTGTCAATTAAAATTGCACTCAATTAGAGATTGTACCTCCAACAAGAATCTGTTTTCAATTTGATTTCCTGGATGAGGTTCCAAAATGAGTTCTATTGCACTTTGGAACCTATACATACAGAGGATTGCTTTTCAATTGTATGCCCCATTTCTATTCTCAATTTTATTGTTTGTCAACATAATTGTTGGATGGAGCCTTAAACTTATCGTGAGGAAGATGAACCCTTTTCTTCATAAAGTAGTTAAACAATTTGACTGCATTTCATGTTTTCAAATAGCTTCAAAGAGAGGTGAAAGATACCAAAGGGACATTCAAACTCGTAAGTTGAAAATTACCTGACAACGCCTTGACCAAAGAAGAAAAAAGATCAACAGACAAACAACAATACACAAAACACAATATAGAAAACTAAGGGTGATCTCAGGTGCTCCGAAAGGGTAAGCAGATCCTCCTCCACATGTGGCAACCGTCGTTTTGCTCAAGTTAGTACAAACCCGGTGATGTGTCTAACTCTGTAGGTCATATTTCGGGAAAAGGGGGCGAGATTGTAGGTACGACAATGGGAACATATCCGTTGTCATCAGTGAAACGGATATTCCATAATGAGCAACCAACTCGTGATGGCGTCTGTAAAATTTAAGAAGGGATAATTTCGACTTCCTCACTTGGAATTCTAGGGTTAATAGCTTCCTTGTGAGCAGCAACCCTCTATCAAGAAAATCATGATCGGAAATACAAGCCCTGGAATATCGTATCAACTGGGAGATATATACTTCGTATGCAGGCGCTGCTGGAATGTTGCTACATAGAAACGGACAGTTCACAATTAGGAAGTTGAAATCATCTATATTCTCGTTAAGTTTTGTTTTCAACCGACCCTCATTGTCAATTTCTAAATGGAAGTCAAGATATGAGGCAGACTTAGCTTCAAGACTTTTCTAACCAATATTGGGTTTTGGGATTTTACAATTAGAAAATTGATGAAATTTCGATTTGCCCAGGAACATTGAATTATAAGGCTACGGCGTAATATTTGTTAATAAGTGTTTCCTGTTAAAGAATCTCAATATGAAATGATACTGTGAGGCAATTTTTTTAGTGTTGTTTATTGATTAGATCTATATAGCCTTTGTTCAGTCATGTCCTTTATCAAGATTTATCGTATATATATACATATTTCAAATATTTTATTTAGTTAAAGCATATAACGACAAGATATGGTAATAAGAAACAAATGCAAATTGTCTCTTATTTTCTGGCTATGCTTAAACATATCTTAATAAATATTTTAGTAATATCATACAAAATCAAAGAATGATGTCAGTAAGAATCTTAACATGCTTAAAGTACAGAAAAGATAAAAAAAAAAAAAAAAGAACAACACAAATTTCTCTTTACTTTCTGAAAATTATACAGTAGCATTCGATATTGACATATAAATTGTGACATCTGTTATTTACGATTCTTCGAACTTTTGCTCTGTCTGAAGGTTATATCAATGATTGACGTAATGGTACTGTGACAAAAAGAAAATAGCAAAAAACGCATTACATCAGATACAATTACCGTCAACGTAAACCAAGGTTTTCCCGTCCTTGCTAAACTTCTGACAACATGTAATGTCCATTAATGGCTTACAAACGTAACGTTTACACGTCATACAAGAAGACTGCATTGTTAAAAAAATCAATGTCACTTTCAATTAATCCTTAACTTAAGAAATAAATAGATTCATGTACATTTATCTGGTGTTATTTAATACAGATCTACAATTTGATATTTCTATTATTAGCCTGGGAATGCTATCAGTAACTGCAAGCATTCTTTGACAATGTTTGATGCGGTATTATTTGACTAAGGGCAGCTTTTAATGTCTATAAACAATATTTTAGAATGAAATGCATATTCTGTAATGGTTTTCTCTATGTGATTCTACAAATTGAGGTTAAAAAAAGGGATTTGTCTTTGGTTGTATCGTTAGATTGTTTTATACTTTATAAAAGTTCATGTGTGTTGATATCAAAAATCGTTGTTTAATCAATTAACTCGTATTTCCCGCAATAATAGATTTGTAAAAATGAACACGTGAAATTTCATTCGATCGTCACTGATGAGTCTTTTGTAGACTAAATTTAATCCTGCAGTTATCTATGGTAAGTTTATTCATATTACTATAGCTAATTGTAGCCGTGAAATTTCGTAAATGCTGATTTTGTATGACATTTTGCAACAAAACATAGTCGATATATATATATATGCAATTACGGTCCGAAATATACTACAACGATCAACGCCAAACAATTCCAATAAAAACAAAAGCAACGACTGGATCAGACTCCTCGCTTGGAATAGAAAACTTTATATAATCTTGATTCAAAGTGTTTTTTGAAAGCCGAGTTAAAAACTGCACATGAAAAATACCTAACTTCAAATTCGACAAATGACAAGAAAATAATCCGGAGAACGAATTCCTAGGTAAACGATTTGGAGTTACTATTTATGACATTACTAGCATCACAAATTCATAATTGACCTAGATGTCTAAGACGTTTTTGGCTAAGTTAAAATTAGAAGAAAAAATGCGCAAAGTTTAAAGCTTCGTGTACATAAAAGTTGGTAATGCAATTTAGTCATTTAGAAGTTCCGGCAAGATCCGTATATCAAAGTTTTTTTGTCAAAAAATTGATCGCATAAACGAATCTTATGTCTTTTTCGTTTATTTAAAAACATATGTTACTTTTTCAACGACAAATTTCAGTCTTTTAAAATCAGACAATTATCAGACAATTTTGTATAATATAATTTTATATGTATAAATATTTTCATTGTCGTTGAAATATATAGTTTTGTAAAGGAAGAAATTCTTATAAGTAGATAAACATTTTCCATCTTCTTGCGTTTTTACATTTACAACAAGTGTATCTGGTAGGAAATGGTGAAGTACGTGTTTATGTCATAAATGAAAGATATTTTTATTTATGTTACAACAAACCTTAAAATACATTACAATGACATCATACTCTATATTTGTAATTGTAGTGGTAACAAAAATATATTGGAAATTCCTTTCTACAAAGGCAGGTAACAAGAGAAAGGCAGACTATACAGCAGTCACAAGAAGATTCATTTTTGAAAAGAAAGACCTGTCTATTCAGATCAAATAAAATCGGTAAGTTTGTCATCACTACATTTATATATCCTTTTTTGTTTTAAATCTGAGATAATGTGGTAAGGTATGCTCACATTCCCATACGTTTGATTATTTAAACACTATTAAACAGAAACCACAGCTATACCTTTTGTTTATATTTTGTTTTAATTTGTGGTGTTCTATTGTGTTTTATTATTCAATATTTATTAAAGGAATTGAGAAAAAATAACACTTACGTTCGTATACGGGTATAAACAAACAAAAGTAAGAATTGTGTTTTTCTAAAAAATTTAACAAGTTATAAGTCATCTTTTTTGTGTTTTAAGCTACATGTTGTGACATATTGACAAAGTATGTAAGAATCATACACGAGAAATGCATTAATACATAAATAGAATAGAAAGATCCCTAATTGACAGAAATTTTGAAATAAAACATGGGAAGAAAGCAAATAATATAATGCCTCAAGAAAATTATAAGAAAAATATGGTCAATGTACCTTTTCTTGCTAGAATAATAAATGGACAAAAATATTGTACATTCTTTTACAAACCATACTTATCTGATTTATACGAATAATAACTTGAATAAATAAAAAAAAGTTATATCTAAATTGAGGCTACAGGAGTTTACGATGATCATTATCTTACGACCAAAGATGGCGAAAGACTCCTATGCTACCTAACGGGTTTAACTTACATATTAAAGTTGATTAGGAATAAATTAATCATATATACTCTCTACCAGGTACTAAAGATCTACCAGAATTTTATCTTGATATGATTAAAATATGGTTAAAAAATAAAAATACTAAAACTAAATATCCAAATAACTACAAACTTATCCATCAAGAAGTCATTTGGGGAAATCAGTTGATCAAATTTAAAAAGAAAACACTACTTTTCCAAGACTGGATAGAAAGCAATATCATTCATATAATTGATATTATTGATGAAAATGGGGTCTTTTCAGAAAAATTTATAAGTTTAAAACTAAAAAAGAAATCAAATTGCATAGCTGAATTCTCAAAATTAAGAAAAGCCATCCCAAAAGAATGGTTTTAAATATTAAATGATGAAAGTTCAAGAAAAACTAGAGTTTAACAAATAACTCACTATATATAAGTGAAAAGAATAATAATTGTAAACATAAACTAGAAAAATTTGATTCGAAGAAAATTTATACAATTTTAAAAGAATATGATAAAGAAGTTCAAATTGGGTATCATAAGTGGAACAGAATATTAAAATGTGAAAATATACAAATTTAAGCTCAATATATGCAAAAGTTTATTCATAAATATTTAAAAGATAATAAACTGAAAATGTGCAGGTGGAAACTATTACACTTTATTTTTCCAAACAAAGTTTTGTTAAAACAATTGAAAATAAGCCTTAACTCTACTTGTAATTTTTGTAACCTTACAGAAGACTATGCACATTTTTTTGTAACTTGCCATTTTCTAGATGAGTTTTGGGTGGAAATTTATAAGTTATTTGAAATAGTTAAGATTGGTAGACATATATGTACTTTAAAAAATCTAATCTGGGTATATAAAATTGATGATGAACATTATTATGAAATGAAGTTTTTACTTACAGTTATTGTGTTTACTATACACAAAATACACTATTTGTCAGAATATAGGACAAAGAATATCAATCTGTATAATGTTTTTAAGTCAGAGTTTAAAAATGGATTATTACTATAAAAAAAATATATTAATATTAAAGGAAAAGGGATACTAGAAAAGATATATTCTTATATTTGAACAACATTGTTATTATATCATTGTCAGTATTGTTATTATATATGTATTTTATAGAGCTCTATGTACTTGACTTGTTTGATAGATGATTATTTCATTTTACAATTTCAATGAGTTTTGAAAGTACCTCTTAATTTGTCACACTCATATATTTACATACTTTAATTTTAAGTTATACGAAGGAAATACAAACCTTGTTTACTGTATAAGACCAAAAATTTTACATATACATACCTTCCCTGGCTAATACATTTATGTTTGCATTATAAACTTAGTGAGAGTAAATTAATCCAAAATACCGTTATACCGGACGATAGAAAACATATGAAACCACAAACAAAATTCCGAAAATGCTACTATAACCCGTTATTCTTTTTTACTCTCAACATCTATCAGATAGTTAACAATGATATATCAAGGGATGCTGTTTTTGATATAGAAGTTCATATGTAGAGCTATAATAGAAATAAAATAGAAAAAATAATGTGTTGATGATAAATAATATATTGATGATAAATAATGTATTAATGACAAATAATATATATACTAACAGAATAACAAATATATACCTGAAGATACCCTGGTCTTTAGGAACTAATATACAGGGATATCCACTGAAATAGCTGTACCAGTGAAGAAATCTGTTAACAGCATGTGCAATATTGTTGTTGAATAAAAAAAAAGGAATAAGTTAAACTTTCCATTTCTATGTAGCAATATTCTAGCCTGCATACGGAGTATACATCATTCAGTTGATACATTATTCCAGGTCTTGTATTTTCTATCACGATTAACTTGATAGAGGGTTGCTGTTCACAAGGAAGCTATTAAACCAAAAGTTCCAGGTGGTGAAGTTGAAATCATCCCGTCGTGAATTTCACAGACGCCATCACGAGTTGGTTGACAGTTTTGGAATATTTGTTTCACAAATGACGACGGATATGTTCCAATTGTCGTACTTACAATCCCGTCCTCTTTTCCCCGAATGTGACTTACCAAATTAAATTTATCATCGGGTTTGTACATGAGTAATACGACCGGTGCCACATGTACAGCAGGATCTGCTTACCCTTCCGAATCGCATGAGCTCACCCCCAGTTTTTGGTGGGGGTTCATGTCGCTCAGTCTTTAATTTTCTATGTTGTGTTTTGTATACTGTTGTTTGTCTGTTGGTCTTTTTGCTTTTTATTTATGGCGTTGTCAGTTTATTTTCGACTTATGGATTTGAATGTCCCTTTGGTATCTTTCGCCTCTCTTTTGAAATTGCTACGTAAATACAGGTTATTTTACAAACGATTTACCGAGTCCTCAATGAACTGTGGTAAATAATTCGTAATGGAATATTTACCAGATGATAAAAGAAAAATCATCCTATGGGAACGAACTGTGAGCCTCTCCTTGCCGACCTCTTCTTATTTTCATATGATTCGGAGTTCCTTCAGACACTTGTCAAAAAACAAGAAGATCAAAGAAGCCAGATCATTTAATTTTACCCTTAGATATATTGATGATGTTCTTTCCATTAACAATCCAAACTTTTCTGATTTGGTTCCATTAATATATTCTCCATAACTAGAAATTAAAGAAACAACAGATACGGCTTCCACCGCGGCCGCCTCATTTTTAGACTTTTACCCCGAATTTGACATAAACGGTCATCTCAGTACAAGCATCTAAGACAAACGAGACGATTTAAATTTGAAATTATCAATTTTCCCCACCTTAGAAGCAATATACCATCTTCACCTGCATATGGGATATACATTTCCTAACTCATTCGGTATTCAAGAGCTTGCTGCTGCTACTCAGACTTTATAAAACGTCACCAGTGTCTGAGCAGAAGGTTGATAAACCAGGGTTAAAAAAGTTCATCGGAAGATACCAAGACCTTCTTGATAAATATTACGTATCAACAAATAATACACGATGGTCTTGAAGTATAGATTCTAGGTACCGACGTTGTTTATGATTTTAATTACGTGTTAAAGTGTTCTTTTAATTGTCTTTGTAACTTATTGACCTTAACTGTTTAGTCCAGTTTTGGTAATATCCTTTTGGCGTGGCTCGGTACTTATGCATCCCGCCATTATGTTATTGTGCTGTGGTAATTTTTTGTATTCTTGTCTATCATTTTTTCTTATGTGCTTTGTCGTTATGACAATTTGTTTTTCTTTGTTGACATATTTGTTTGTTTTTATAGAGTTTAAGATTATAACACAATGTTGACTGCTGTTCTCCTAATTTTGACATTTTTACTTATTATGTCTGTTTGTTTTGTTTACACATTATTGTCAATATAATGGAATTTATATGCGACTGTCATACAAGTAAGAGGTTAAGCTAGCTATAAAACCAGGTTTAATCCACCATTTTTTTCATAAGGAAATGCCTGTACCAAGTCAGGAATATGACAGTTGTTTTCCGTTCGTTTGAGGTTTTTGAGCTTTTGATTTTGCCATTTGTCAAGGGACTTTCCGATTTGAATTTTCCTTGGAGTTCGGAATTTTTGTTATTTTACTTGTTACATATTGAATGTTGTTCTACCTGACATGGTACTTAGATGATTATTTTAGATTTGTTTCGCAAGAATCAGACTAGTCTAATTGATATTGGTAGACTATCTAATGAACATTAAGTGTAAAGAGGTGTTGACTAGATAACACAACTGAATAAACGTCCTTGAATTTAATACGAAAATCAACATCAAATTACAACATAACATATTAGGTATCTGTCGCTCGGTTTTATTAAACAAAGTAAAAAAAAACAGGGGAATTTCAGTTCTTGAAGTAAAATAAATCGATACTATTTTAGTAAATTGTAACCTGTTTGAATGAAATAGAAATAAAATTTGTAAATTGAGATAAACTTTTATTCCAATTTTTGCAAACTATACTTAAACTAACTGTAGTACATTATTAATATTTCAAACAAAATATATGTACATATATTATTCATAGTTGTATATCAACATCAAACGGATTTCCTTAGTACTTAAATACAGCTTTCATCTGTCACTTTTCTTATTTATAAAAATCCATATATATTCTGAAGTCTGTCAATGTATTTTTAGTATCACACGTAGCAGTTTAATAACAAAACACCTAACAATGACGCGGCTATTGAAATAAGATTAACTAAAATTCTCCGATCTGAGGAATGAGGTATGTATGGCTGCATTGATGTATAAATATCCAGCCACGTTTGAACATTTGTTCGCTACGAATTTTCATATTGTACCACATTCTCACCACTAGAATCAACTTACTGTTTATTTAATAATTACACACGAGCAGAAAAACAAGATATCTAACGTGAGTGAAACAGTTTGTTTTCCAAATGAAGAACAAATATAATATGAATACCACTGTTTTTGCAAAATGTATTATATATTTTAAAAACTCTGCCATTTTGAATAAAATATCTATGCATGTCTTTTTGAAATGAAGAAATTGTTTTTTGCTTTCAGACATGACTTGTGGAGTAATTGTATTGTTGACAGTTTTAACAACTACATTTGTTATCCAGATAAAATTGAGCACCTGTGATAGTCATGAATGCGATTCATACATACATCCGCGAAATATTTATATATTCAACATGGTTCTTTGCATTATTGGGATTGCAGCACTTTTTTTATATTTGATTTTATGGTCGGTTAACGAAAAGAATGAAGAGACCGTTCAAATGAGACAACACAAGAGTAAAACAGATATGTTGACAAAAGTATTCATGTGGATATTCACATTCTTTATAACTATATTTTCGATGATAACAATTCTTAATGTAAAAGAAAAAATGAATCACTTCAAAGATTTAAACTCAACGGGGATAATTAACAGTACTTGCAAGTACAAGTTGTCGTATGATGAATCGATATTTAATTTTAAAATTGTGCAAATTATCTTTTGTTTAATTCAAAGTATGTTTTTACAACTGACCTTTGGTATTCGATTTTACCGTTCCATATTGATAAAGGTTGTTACATTTTTCATATTTTGGGCAAATGCAAGTCATTTCGTTTTGATACTAGTTAATGCCTATACATCATCGGAAGATAATTCTAGGAACAGTTATAAGGAATGTACACTTAGGCAAACAACAGATTGGAGCGTAAAGCAGGCCTACGACGTATTCGCTCATTTTTGTAAGCCTATGGAGGGGCAATACTCCGTTCTTTGTATGTTACAAATATTTGAAGTTTCGTCAATTGGAGTACGTTATTGCTGTACATCAAAACAAGGTAACCAAAAGCACAAATCACAGTCAACACTTGAACATGCAAATAACGAAGAGAAACCACTTTTGTCCAGACATAAAACAGATGATAAAGATGCTGACTCAAAAAACCTAAACATAGACCCTCTAACAAATGAAAGACCTGAAAATGCATGTAAAGACGCAGAAAACCTAAGCGTCAATGTAGATCGTACGAAAGCACTGAAAGAATTAGCGTTTCAGCGATACACACAGATGAGTGGTATTGCTGTAATTTTCCTCTTTATTCCGGATTGTGCCACTTCAATATATTCCCTTAGTCTAAATAGAATAAATGAATCGTATGCTAGTTCAACTACAGTCAGAAGACTTAATGGCGTTGAAACTAGCTATTTTGTCTACCATATACTGCTTCATGCTGTCATGCTTCTTCTTTTTATGTTTTGCTTTTACATGCTTTATGGATCAAAAACATACTTTGAAAAACTGACAGATGGAAAGATTCCATCTTTCAAATCAAGCTATTTTGTTATATCACTGAGTTTCCTTGCGTCTTTCGCCTTTTATGGTGTTAACCTAACAGCATACGTTTTATTTACACAGTCAACGCCGATTACAATTCTAATAGTTGAAAATTTATTTTCCGTTCTACAGATATCAATACAAATGTTTTTGATTTTAAAAGTAAACGAATTGAAAAAATCGAAGATTTCGTCATCCTTTCCACGAGCTTCAATGACGCATATATTCCTGATAATTTCTGTGATGAATCTAGGGTTTTGGTTTGCAAGTAATTTTATGGGAATGTCAAACTATACGAAATTTGTTCTGACAGAAATTTTGGGTGATAAAACTCAACATGCTTTGTGTCATATATTTATAGCATTTGTTTGTTTCTTTCATTTTAAATCGTGTGCTAAATTTTATGAGTTATTCCGTTATCAGTATGATTTCTAAAACCGACCCTCGTCATGTTGTTTGACCACTGTGGGATATGAACATGCAACACTGTGGTCATAAATCACAAGGAAGGTAACTTTGTACTTTACTTTTTTTTCATTGATTTCTTGAGGAAAACCGCTTTAAATTGTTTCAATATTGTAAATTTTATATGAAATACACCAGTATAATAATTGATAAGCTATATCAATGTTTTATACTGTACATTTTGGGCTTTGAAAAGAACGTTAATTGTTTTTCTTATGCATTTCTCAATGACATCTTAAAAATGAAAATTTAATTTGATAATACTTAAAAGAGAAAAATAACCAAAAGAAAATATATGCGTGTTATATTTGAACATTGGTAAAATCATTAATACATATTTATTTAAAGAGGACTGTCTGCTTCATAATGTCTTTGAATTCGCACTGAAACTAGTGATATTTTAGCTCAATGTTTGTTCAGATTACTTCAAGTCATATTTTGAATAATCGGTCACCTTAAAAATGCTTTTCATATATTAAAACTGATTTCGGTAACGTTTTGTTCTTTTGTTCTTCACAAAATCAAAAAGCAAAATGTCATCGAAAATAGAACTAAACATCATTAAATATGTTACATGCTAACTGAAATGATATGGTTCCTGAATTTAGTCATCGCTTAATTAAGATAAGTATACTCAGCAGCCGATTGAGACTGGACAACAACTTTGATTTTAAGAATATTTGTATATATACTAAACAAATCATTTTACTCTTTAATATAAAAATTTCTAAATTCTATTATCATCATCGGGTTTGAACTTACATGAGCAATACGACGGGTGCCACATGTGTAGCAGGATCTGCTTACCATTCCAGAGCACCTGAGATCAAACCCAATTTTTGGTAGGGTTCGTGTTGCTCAGTCTTTGGTTTTCTATGTTGTGTTTTAATTTTTGTGTACTGTTATTTGTCTGTTTGTCTTTTTTTTTTATTCATAGCGTTGTCAATTTATTTTCGACTTGTCAGTTCGAATGTCCCTTTGGTATCCTTCGCCTCTCTTCTGTTATTGATGTTGAAATAATTATTAGTGAAAATGGTCATCCTTGTTTTACTTTTCCAAGTTTTTGAATCATGTTCATATGATGTGTTTGTTGCAAATCATCCCCAAATGGTTGTTCTGTAGATTAAAAGATTAATTTTCTTAGGCTTTAACCGTTGTTTGGATAACTCTGGTTAATGTGTGAATGCATATGACTATCACTGGGTCGATACCTCTGCTAGTGGACTGTAAGACCACAAGGGTATCATCAGCCCAATAGCCAGGATTTGATTAAATTGAAATTTGCTGATATAGAATTACGGGAAATAATTCAAAATCAAAGAATATATTTCTCTCATGCAAAGCTCCGATTTTTTATCAGGATTTGGCTATAGATAATGTCATATTTGCTTTGATCAGCTCTCCAACGTATGTTTTATGTTTTGGATTTTTAATCAGTTCGGCATCGAGCATCACTGAATAGAGACCAGCTGGGCTTCTGGTGCAGTAAATTTATACCGTTAATGCTATTGACAAGATATGTTGATAATCCAGTCTACAAAGGTTTCTGCATTTGGTTTAACCAGGGTTTCAGTATAATAAATTGTTCAAGCTAGAAATAGCTATAATTGTTATAATGTATATAAAGAACTTGAATGTAAAAAAACAATGATAAAATAATGACAGTTATGTTATATAGAATATGCATGTAGAGAATCAAATGTCATTTAGCGCTTGAATTATCAGCTTAACTGTAACTTGATTTACTTCATTAATGTAAAATAAAAATAATTTTATATATTATTCTTTGTATTTAGTGAATATGATGTAAGCATTGAATGACCTTTGAGACAAAAAATATCGCAAAGACAGTGACCATCAACATACATCCGCATTTTGTGTGTTTTGAAGTATAATCTACCTCAATCACATAAAGTCCATCGTCAGTTTACTTCTTTCATAAAAGAAAACGTTCTCAATCCCTAATCATTTTGCAACATCTGGCCAAACTTCACAAAAGGCGACCTGCAGGATTATGTCATATCTTACGTCTTGTAACCAGTATAATTACCGAAATTTAAACGTAGGTAAGTGGCGGTCACACATATGCATTGACCTAGTAAGGTTTACAAAACATTATATGACGGCTAATAAAACAGGAAATTTGAAAAAAATACATGAGTGATATTTCCCCCACGTGATTATAGTGATTTCCCCCTGCTATTTGATTTGGATTTATCAAAAAAAAATCAATCAGTTTTAACGATTGTAACTAGAAATTGATAACCAAATTATTAGTTGACATTCATAATTTCTCCCTTTATATGAATAATTTTTTTCACAAGGTAATGACACGGTATTTGCATGTTTAATGATGGAACATGTTCTCTTGATACAGAAAATGGGTGTCAAAAAGATCAGAAAAGCTCACATATATTACAACTTATGACATTTGAGCTGCCTAGCAATAGTGATAATAAATAATGCAAGGTCAGCATTCTCCAAATTTGTCTTTTTTCGGGGGAATTTTAACCATAAGAGCATGTTTAGAGAAGATTGAGGCTTTTTTCCTTGTAAATTCTCATTTGGTTGAAACATTTAATTTGCTTCTTCATCTAAACAAACTATTATATGAACAGCTACGTCTATGAGTTTACTTTCTTTCCACTCTGTGCATCCCCTTAGAAAAGTTTAAATCGAATTACTTTTCTGTCTTGACGAACTGTTCATCCCATTGCTACCTCTATGATTCTGTCTGTTAAACTTGACACTATTCCTCTTAATGACCATCTTCTCTGTAAAATTAACACAACATTCTTTCCATTTCAAAATGAAGATACAACTTTATAGAATTCATGCTTTGAAGCGCATTTCTGGAACAACCGTATCAAGAAGGCTCTAGCGCAAACATATGGCCCGAGAACACAGTTATTTCGTAGTGCATTTCTTTTAGACAAAAAACACAAGATAAAAAATCGCACCTGCTCTATCCAAAAAAGATTTTTACAGTGTAGTATACTACTTTTAAGACAAATTATATCAAAATTATAGAAAAGTCTATCTGCTCTACCTCAAAATATGGACAATTTTATGTGTTTCCCTCGGTTTTAGTTTGTAACCCGGATTTGTTTTCTCTCAATCGATTTATGACTTGTGAACACCGGTATACTACTGTTGCCTTTATTTGTGTTAAAGGGATCTGTTATTCAGTTTGACAGCTTCGGACATACTAATATTTTACATGTAATTTCACCCCCTACTTACTATTTTTTGCATAAAATATAACGAAATAAATTTGGAAGGTATGTGAATAAAATTTGCAAGTTATACAATGTACATACTAGGGACTCTATTTGTAGACAACGAAAATCAAAGGACGATAACTGTGTCCGCGGACAATATACGTGATCTATTTAACATGAAATGTTGACATTGTGTTCAGATTGTGTCTCGGACATATAAACTCATCTGATGAAGCAGAAATATAATCCCTATATGGAGAGCAGCTCTTGCAATATTTCAGTCAATAATCTATATAAGGTGCATATGACGGGTACCATATGTGGAGCAGGAATTTCACACCCTTCAGGAATATTAAGTGGGTACTGTCCTACTTAATCGTTAGTTTGATGTGTTACGTAATGTTTGGTTTATGTGTGTCGGTTTCATTTTTGGCCATGTAGTCGGTTTTTATTGGGCTTACGATTTTCATTTATTTCTTTGGTATCGTCCCTCTCCGTTCAAATGTAATACAAGTTTGTGCAATATTTTATTGAAAAAGAATATGTTTTAATTCTACACATTGTATAAAACTGCAGATCTGAGCTAACACTTTTAAAATACGAAGATACATATTGTTTTAATAAATCAGTTTCACTATGATATACACCTGAATTACTGAAAAAGTGTGTAATGTATTGGGTCCAAATATGAGACCTACTGCCAACACCTGTCCGAAATGGGAGTCTTGCTGATGTTGAGGAAGATATGGAAAATGGTGTATGTAATCCATTATTTATTCATTAATTACATAGTTGACCTTGTTCAGTACTTATGTTTTTGGTAAACTTAGTGTAACACTGATAACAAATAAGTTTAAAAAAAAATATCCAGGTTAAAAAAAATAAAACTAGTTTGTGCATGAATTTAAAAAAAAACGCTTTGATGATCATGATGATCCTGTCATGTGTAATCAGTAAAGGTTACAAATTACTAGATATAAAATGTCAAAACATTTTATAAAGTGGTTCTCCGTTTAAAATTTATAAAAATAGATTTGTTCAGAAAATTAAAGACTATATCTTCGATAGTAATTTGTTAAAAGTGGACTCAATGGAAATTGCCCTGTATCATGAATATGTGTATTAAGTAATCATTTAGCAATTTACAGTATTACAAACCCTACACGATGAGAATAATGATAAGTGGTATGCTTTTATGCATATACATGTGTATGAGAAAGTATGATAACAAAATAACCTACCTTAAAAAGATTTAAGTTAACTCAATTGGTCTGACGACGTCACTCGCTGATCACATTAATACCCGACGTTTTAAAGAGTTACCATCCTTTACAATCGCTCAAAATAAGAAAGCATCAGTTAAATAGTAAAAGTGAGGAATAGATATAAAAATAAGGAGATGAGGTACAATTGCCAATGAGACAACTATCCACCATAGTTCAATAAAGTGGATGTAAGCAATTATAGGCAACCGTACGTCCTTCAACAATGAAACATAGATAGTCAAATATCAGATATTATCCCCGGCTTAGTATATTTCTAGGAGTTTGATTAGTAAACGCACGTCGTTACAAAACCCATAGCCCCTGGGTGTTGCTAACCCATATACCCGGACGTTGCTACCCATTACATCAGGGAATTTACGCGCGTTTTCCTTAGTTCCATGGTTGTTCCTTATGAAATATCGAACTCTGTAGATTTTCCATGATGTCTGTATAATTAAATATTCAATCCACTAACGATTTTATCTTATTATATCGATTATTTGCACTCATTTTAGTAAATGCATCACTATGCAGCCACATTGTCAATGAATAGTACTACTGACCTAGCTATGCAAATGACCCACGTTGACGTCACGCCGTTTATGATGTAACTCGATTCGACCCATTTCAGTTTCTCTGTCTCTACTTTAAAAACGTCTTATATTTGTCTACCTGTAGGGTTCTATCAAAGGTAGTACCCTACACCCCGTTAAAAATATGTCAAATTCCCAAATTTCAATAAAAGATATTTAAAAAATGAAAAAAACGTTGCTTTCACGTTTCACTTTGTGGTCGAATTTCTCTAAAAATCACCAGATTTAGACTAAGACCGGGGATAAATTCGTTATCTACGTTCATATCCGTAGATATGGATATTTTAAAACCCTTCAGTACCCTGTACTTGGATACTTCAGGGTGTTAAAATATCCATATTTACGGATATGAACATAGATAACTTATAGTATGTAGATATAGGAAGATGTGGTATGAGTGCCAATGAGACAACCCTCCATCCAAGTTACAATTTATAAAAGTAAACCATTATAGGTCAAGGTGCGGCCTTCAACACGGAGCATTGGCTCACACCGAACAGCAAGCTATAAAGGGCCCCAAAAAATTACTAGTGTTAAACCATTCAAACGGAAAAACCAACGGTCTAATCTATATAAAAACGAGAAACGAGAAACACGTATGAACTACATAAACAGACGACAACTACTGTAATCAGATTCCTGACTTAGGACAGGTGTAGTTATAATGATAACACGGGCCATCAGTGACATAGTATGGTATATATACGGTCTCGCCGAGAAGTAATTTACTCGTATAAATACCATAGAACGTCACTGACTGCCTATGTAATCATTATACCTACAGACTTTCTAATACATGCAACACAACACAATCTATATATGGTTGTGAGAGTGACTGTTCGTCTTATTTTCGCAGTTGTCTTGAGAGCTGTGCTCTATATTTTTGTGTGTTCGTTTCTAAATGGCTTCATATTTTGTTTGTTTTTTAAAATGTCTAACGTCAAGTCCAGTCGCGTGATTGATTATGCAATTTCGCGTTTAAAGGTCAGCTCTTGTGACGTAGTTGACATCGCTTCTGGTTCACGGATAACCTTCGGGTACGTGGTTGCTTTGGCTACATTTACTGTCATTTGAAAGACTCGTGAAAACGCTGCTATTAAAACGAAAAAAGAATGCACATTATTTGTCCATTCTTATACCTAACAATGCGGGAAAAAAAGACTTTCGGTCACGCTTGCGCTAAATACTCATCGAAAATGGTGGCCTTTATAACACTTGTCCGATCAAATGGTTTGTCGTCACGCTTGCTCATAACACATTCCAGTTACCTGATGAATGTTGTCACTTCCGGTTGATGATGTTGAGTATCAACCGCTCAAATGTTCAAATTAAACTTTCCACCTAATGGTGATTTACTTCTCACATGGTAATATGTGATGCCAGAGGGAGTTATATTTCTTAGAAAGAGTATTTTATTTCTTATATCATTCTTATTCCAAATTAGATTTAGTAAACCAAATTTACTGTTTACCTGTAGCAGGCTGCATATGTTTTTTTTTAAATATTTTATTCTTTTTTTTTTTTTTTTTTAGAATTCAACCATTTTTTTTAAAAACTTATGTCAATGAATAGTACTACTGACCTAGCTATGCAAATGACCCACGTTGACGTCACACCGTTTATGATGTAACTCGATTCGACCCATTTCAGTTTCTCTGTCTCTACTTTAAAAACGTCTTATATTTGTCTACCTGTAGGGTTTATCAAAGGTAGTACCCTACACCCCGTTAAAAATATGTCAAATTCCCAAATTTCAATAAAAGATATTTAGAAAATGAAAAAAACGTTGCTTTCACGTTTCACTTTGTGGTCGAATTTCTCTAAAAATCACCAGATTTAGACTAAGACCGGGGATAAATTCGTTATCTACGTTCATATCCGTCGATATGGATATTTTAACACCCTTAAGTACCCTGTACTTGGATACTTCAGGGTGTTAAAATATCCATATCTACGGATATGAACGTAGATTACTTATAGTATGTAGATATAGGAAGATGTGGTATGAGTGCCAATGAGACAACCCTCCATCCAAGTTACAATTTATAAAAGTAAATCATTATAGGTCAAGGTACGGCCTTCAACACGGAGCATTGGCTCACACCGAACAGCAAGCTATAAAGGGCCCCAAAAAATTACTAGTGTTAAACCATTCAAACGGAAAAACCAACGGTCTAATCTATATAAAAACGAGAAACGAGAAACACGTATGAACTACATAAACAGACGACAACTACTGTAATCAGATTCCTGACTTAGGACAGGTGTAGTTATAATGATAACACGGGCCATCAGTGACATAGTATGGTATATATACGGTCTCGCCGAGAAGTAATTTACTCGTATAAATACCATAGAACGTCACTGACTGCCTATGTAATCATTATACCTACAGACTTTCTAATACATGCAACACAACACAATCTATATATGGTTGTGAGAGTGACTGTTCGTCTTATTTTCGCAGTTGTCTTGAGAGCTGTGCTCTATATTTTTGTGTGTTCGTTTCTAAATGGCTTCATATTTTGTTTGTTTTTTAAAATGTCTAACGTCAAGTCCAGTCGCGTGATTGATTATGCAATTTCGCGTTTAAAGGTCAGCTCTTGTGACGTAGTTGACATCGCTTCTGGTTCACGGATAACCTTCGGGTACGTGGTTCCTTTGGCTACATTTACTGTCATTTGAAAGACTCGTGAAAACGCTGCTATTAAAACGAAAAAAGAATGCACATTATTTGTCCATTCTTATACCTAACAATGCGGGAAATAAAGACTTTCGGTCACGCTTGCGCTAAATACTCATCGAAAATGGTGGCCTTTATAACACTTGTCCGATCAAATGGTTTGTCGTTACGCATGCTCATAACACATTCCAGTTACCTGATGAATGTTGTCACTTCCGGTTGATGATGTTGAGTATCAGCCGCTCAAATGTTCAAATTAAACTTTCCACCTAATGGTGATTTACTTCTCACATGGTAATATGTGATGCCAGAGGGAGTTATATTTTATTTCTTATATTATTCTTATTCCAAATTAGATTTAGTAAACCAAATTTACTGTTTACCTGTAGCAGGCTGCATATGTTTTTTTTTAAATATTTTATTCTCTTTTTTTTTTTTTTTAGAATTCAATATTTTTTAAAAACTTATGCTCATATCGGAAATTAGAAATAGAGGGTGTATCAATTTTTCTAATATTTTTCACATCTAAGCTGGTTCATAAAAGGTCTTCAATCTTTTCTATAATTCACAGTACCATCATGACCATAGATTCAAGTGTATGCTTTGCCTCATATTGGTGTATTTTTTTATCACGTGACCAATTATGACTGATTCTGGCAAATGTTGATGATTTATCTAAATATCTTTCCTTTAAATTAATCAAAAACTAAAATTCTGTGGGAAGTAAAGCTATATACTTTCCATTCAATACAAATAACTTCATTTAGGTACGAGACTTATTCAGTACAATTCTTTTCAAGAACATTTAAAATTTGCAATATTGTCTTCAACAGCAATATGCCGCGCATAAAAAACTTGTGTGTGCATTTTATATACACTCCTACATATTCGAATACTAGTAGGTTTTATCAACTTTCAAAAATTATCCACGTGAGGGAGATAAATACAGGGGGAATCGGCCGTACCTCTTTTTAGACTAGAATAAGTGAAGGAAAGTTCATATTTCCAAATATTTAATATATCACAAAAGGATAAGATATTGTGTTTTATGCTTGCGTTCATTATGTCAAATATAACCGCACTTCATCGGACCTTTCAAAACAGAAAGTATATACATTTATGTGATCCACAATGTATCAGTACTTCGTATTTTCCTTGACTCTTAGCCAGACAACTTCCTACAATGATAGAAAGAGAGAAACTGTATACATCAAAAACAAAATCGGCAAAGTATGAAATAAAATATTTTTTTCTAAATCTGTCAACAGAGAAATGTCATGTAGTACTTAGGGATGAGAAGTTAGTTAGACTGCTATATAAATATAAATTCTGTGCAAGAAAACAGAGCCCCCTCTCACCAGTTTGTGTACATTCGTTATGTGATATTTTAAAAATAATTATTAAAACATCTAAATAATTATTTAATTATTAATCATGTCTTAAGATTTAAAAAAATGCACTCCTTGTCATGCCCAATTCTGTAATCCAAAGTGTCAGAAAGCAGGAGGAAGGTGTTTGGCAGAACTGAGAAGCTATCATGTGTTATAACACATCACTTTCAAATTGCTGACATAATATAAAAATATTCGATTTAGCGGTACTTGAGAAATGTATAACGAAAAATTCTTACTTCATTCAACATGCTTAAAATGGCAAAGTATCGGAAAACACCTATAGGCGTCTGACAAATCAGAAAATTGCTCACACGTTACCCATCAACACCGTCAAGCTGTTGACAAAGATATTAATTTGGTAGAGTTGTTCATGAGAAAATTGTGACAGAAATATTTGTTGGTCGGTCGGAAGGACTGAAGAAGGTGGATGCAACATAGAACAATGTCAATTTAACAGTTGGATCCACGTTCAATTAACATTATGAATGATAACTTCATTTTAAATTCTCGTTTATTTGTTGAACACGTATATATAATGAATACATGTATCAGTAATTTGTACACAAGTGAATTTATTTAGCATATCCACAACTACAATATCCGCATGTACACGTTTCCTTCATAAAAAATGACATTTTTTTAAAGTTCTAGGTCAAAAACAATTTTCTGAAAAATGAAATGATATTTATATCTTCTGATGTGCTACAACCTACGTGATATTTATAAGTAAATGAGATCATAACTTTAAAAAATCTTTTTTCCTCAGAAAATTTACATTGGAAATACCCTGTCTACACAATATATAAGCTAAAGATAATAAGTATTATTAAAAATCTAGCACTGAATATCAGAGATTATTTCAGTCGATATTTGTTGATAAAAGACAACACAGATTAACGGTAAGTGCAGATCTAGATCTACAAAAATATACATTTCGTCTTCTTAGAGGACATTTAACACTATCTAAATTTTTTTTTTTTTCTCTCCCTTTTCTTTTTTTTTTTTTATATATATTAACCCCTTCCCTCCTCCCACCACCCTTAACTCCACCCTCATCATTGACGCTCGGATCAAAAAAGTTGAAAAGGCTAAATAAAGTACGAAGTTGAAGAACATTGAGGACCCAGAATTACTAAAGGTTTTGCCAAATAAAGCTAAGGTAATCTATTCCCGGGGTAGAAAATTCAAAGTTTTGTAAATACTAAATTTATAATTATGAAACATCAATGTTAATTTATGTTAACGAAGCTGTTTTGTCGAAGTTAGCAAGTGACTAAATCTCACAGAGACTCATAAAGGGGTTCGTACGTTGACTTGCATTTGTTACAGCCGTGTCTTAGGATAGACAAGTGTCCAAATTGTAATTTTACAGGTACCAAATGCCGTTATTTACAGATGATTATATATTTTGACATTACCTTTTACAATTAATTGTAAGTTTATTTTCCAATGAGATATTTTGAACGTGGACAGGTGTCAATCAACAGTCAATTGTCGGGAATCCCGTGGTGTATGTATTGTTAATTATCGCTATTTTGTGTATTTTTCCTTCGAGTTTTTTTGTGATAATTTTTCATATCATGCTACTTGCTTGAAATGGAACTAAGGATGCACGTGACGTTGCTAGATTAAACATCAACGACGTCATAGGCAAAATAGTGATAAACAGATTATCAATGGTCTTTCATACTCGAGGAGGTTCCTCGGTCAAATTTCATCCAAGGGCTGTCGACCTTTGATGATATTGTAGCTGAGAAACACCCTCTCGTTTGAAAAACCATCCATAATATATAAGTTCCGTGGTGTACGTATGGTTAATTCCAAACGAGGACAACTGAGTTGATAAAGCGATAGAATAAATTTAATAAGATAATTATTAGAAGTTTCTTGTTTTTTATTTTTTTATTTTTTTTTAATTTAGCCACTGTTTTCTTCTTTCGTATTCTTCTAACTGATAGAGGAAGCACAAGGTATTTATGTATGAGTGAGGGCCTGCACATAATGTTTTAACCCTCTTGCTGCCGGAGGGACACATGTGTCCACATGTTTTATGTATGCAAGCATCTGTTCATTGCTGTATCTCTTTCAAATAAAACATCGAAGATTCAACATCGTAATGGATAGGTTAAACATTCAAACTCAGTGGTCGAAAATAAACTGACAATACCATGGCTAAAAAAGAAAAAGACCAACAGACACACAATAATATTTTTCGTCAATATGTCTTTTGGATGTAACACGTCTTCTGATTGGCTGAAAGTTTTTTGTCTATCACTGCATAGACATCATTTTGTCATGTGACCGTGACGTCTTCAACGTTGGTTTTTTTTCATGATTTACTCGTTAAAAATGGAATTTAGATTTATTTATAAGGAATGACTGTAATACTTTTTTCTCTGTCTATTCGAAATAACCTCAAAAATATGGCGCACACTTTTAAATAACCCGCTCCGCTGAGAAGATATTTATTTAGATGAATGAAATCCCCTTTTCATAAGTTACATGTATTCGTCATAACAATAATCATAGTATGTGATTAATATTTCAAATGACATGTACATATGTGTAGCATACTTGTATATTGATTTTTGGCGGATTTCCTCTTTTATGTTGATATAAACTACAGAAGTTTCTCTATTTCATCTTTTTTATTTATTTGTCAAAGTCAATGTGTTCATTTAGTCGTCAGCAATATTCATGCCAATTAAAAAAAATACAACCAACGTGTGTACCATATTTTCTGCAATGGTATTGCTCGATGGTTAAGCTGTTAGTTAACCCTTAGAAAATTGCCACTTCCTTTCATAACTATTTTTCAAAGAGCAGTCATACAATTTAATTTTCTGATTTATCAGAACATAGATAGCTATCATCCTAAATTTATACGGAATGTAGGCAAATTTCAGTTAGTACAAAATGGACTGAAATTTCCTAGCCCGTTTTTACATTTTCCATCCGGGCAAAATTGCTCATCATTATGGAAAAGTTTTGTAAATACGTAACAATCATTGGATGGATTGTTTTTTTTGTATCGACCTTGTGCGTATGAATTTCCGAAGAAAACTGCCAGGACATCAAATTTTTCCAAGACATAATAGGTTTATAATTTTATAGGTTATAGAAAAACAAATGCCTGTTAAACGTCTCATCTGTTAAAGCGTAAAGAATTGTGTTTCATTCTTATAGAGGCATTCGCCACGATTTAGACAATAACTAACATATATGATTTTTGTGGTTTCAAACATTTATACAGATGAAATATTTTAACACATATGTCGCTATTAGCAGTCGATTTAGTTAAACTTATTCAATATAAGCAACAACAAATAACATCCAGGAAGTTAATTATTCAATTTTATTTAAATTCGTATTCATGCGAATTTTTATTGATAATTTGACCGTAAGCTGGAGATTAGTACGACATGATTTAAGCAGGTTCAGTTATTAAAAGGAATGTCAAAATTGCATATTTAAACAAACTAAGGAAGTCAAGAGAAGGAATCACTTCGTTTACCGGTTCGTCCCTCAACAAATCATTCGTATACATGTAATGTCATTCTGTCTTTTTTCGATTATAGTTTTGGTGACCCCTTGGTATCTTCGCATGAGTTATATTTTCGTATATTAAATTGAACTATATGCTACATGCGATTAAAGTTAAATAGCGGTGCATTTTTTAAATAAAAATATTAGGAAAACAGGGACTCATACGAATAGAATATTTTCCAAAACAGGAACAGACCTTAGAGGGCAGACGCTTAATATATATTTAAACATTAATAATTATTTAAATACGGTTTTACATTGTGTTTAATACCTACTAAATATGTTTTTTTTTAATTGATTATGATCTTTTAATTCCAGACATGAGCTGTGGAGTTCTTGTATTGGTGACAATTTTAACAATCACATTTTTTATCCAGTTAAGTTTGAGCACATGTGATAGTCCTGTATGTCACGAGTACATAAATCCGAGAAATGTATATATATTTAACACGGTGATATGTGCAAGTGGGATTGTATCACTTGTTTCCTATTTCATTTTATGGAAGGTAAACGAAAATAATGAAGAGGCCGTTAACATACGACAACACAAAGGTAAAACAGACAGTCTGGTTAAAGTATTCATGTGGATATTTACTTTTTTCACAACTTTATTTTCAGTGATATCTGTTTTGAATGGAAGAGCCAAAAAAGAAAAATTCAATGACTTAAAATCAAATGGAAACATAACGATTAATTGCACATACAATTCAAGATATGATGAGTCCGTTTTCGACTATAGAATCGTACAAATCATTTTCTGTTTACTTCAAAGTATGTTTTTGCAACTCACGTTTAATATCCGTTTTTACCGCTGCTTGTTGATAAAAATTGTAACATTTCTTATATTCTGGGCTAATGCTAGTCATTTTGTGTTGATACTAGTGAATGCATACGTGTCATCGGAAAACGATTTGAAAAACAGCTTTGATAAATGCATAAGACCTTATCCTGGCAAAATACATTGGGAAATTAAGGACGCTTACAAATTATTCGCTCGATTTTGTAAGCCTATGGAGGGGGAGTACTCTGTACTTTGTATGATGCAAATATTTGAAGTTTCGTCAAGGAAAGTGCGTTATTACACTTCATCCGATAGAGAAAAAAGTGATGAGCGAATAACACATGAAAAACCGGAAAAAGCAAATGACGAAAGGAATCCCCTTTTGTCAAGCCATAGCACAGACAATAGTGAAGACTACAGGGAAAAATCACCACAAAGCATGCTTACACGTGAAAAGCCTGAAAATACCCATAAGGATGGACTTGTCAAAATATGTATTCAAGATGACAACCTGCCTAAATCTACTGATGACAAACACGAGAGCAAATGCGAATCTCTTGATCGGAAAAAAACAATGGAAAAAATGGCGTTCTATCGCTTTACACATATAACTGGTGTAGCTGTTATTTTCTTGTTTATTCCGGATTGTGCCCTTTCAATATATTCACTTGCTCATGATGGTATTAATAAAACGTGTTTTAATTTAACGACATGCAGAAGTCTTAAACATGAGGAAACAATCTTTTTTGTGTATCATATAATTCTGCATATTGTGATGTTCTTTATTTTTATGTTCTGTTTTTACATGCTTTATGGACCAAAGACTTATTTTGAAAGACTGGAAGTATGGAAAATTCCGTCTTTGAACTCGAGTCATTTTGTCATTTCACTGAGTTTTCTTGCATCTTTGACATTTTATTGTGTAATTCTTACAGCATACTCTTTATTTACACAGATGACGACCATCACACTTCTGATAGTTAAAAATGTATTGGTCGTACTTCAGATATCAATACAAATATTTTTGATTTTAAAAGTAAACGAATTTAAAAAATCTAAATTTTCGTCATCCTTTCCTAAAGTGACAATGACACATATATTCTGGGTCATTTCTGTTATGAATCTGGGGTTTTGGTTTACAAGTAATTTTATGGGAATGTCAAACTTTACCAAACTGGTCCTGAAAGAAATTTTAGGACATAAAACTGAACATGCTTTGTCTCATATCATTATATCATTTGTATGTTTCTTTTATTTTAAATCGTGTGCTAAATTTTATGAACTATTTCGTAATCAATATGATTTCTAACTTAACAAAGACCAATTGATATATTCCCTTTGAAAATATAATATTGCTTGAAACGTTTGAATTTTGTTTGTTGTACTAATGTGTTGTTGGATATATACACGTTGATCCATAAGTTGATATTTTGTAAGCAGATGTGTTCTTACCACATTCTCAATCTATGTCATGTTACACAAGTTATCGTTTAATCTAAAAATCAGAACAACAAAAAAAGAAAGCTGAACTTCACTTTAATTCAATAATGCTAGATTTTAAATCTTTACAATTTCTTTTGATTTTGATTTAATCGTAGGATAACAACTGTAGATTGATTTGGTAGATTATTACTTTTTTTTTCATTTGTTTAAAATTAGATTGAACTGTTTCCACAAAAAATATGTATACAGAGCGAAGATGTGAACCCAATATGCAAATTACTTTTGATAAAATTATATACCAGACGCTTTTAACATGTACCATATATTTTATAATCAAATATACTATAACTAAATTTTCTTAATTTTGCCAAATAAAATGATTCATTCTTATATATACCATTAGTTTCAGTAAATGTGAAAGGATACGAGCGACCGTCAGAAGATAATCACTTAAAGTTATTAGGCAACGACCATAACTATAATGCTCTTTACATAATCATACGTTGTTGCCAAGCAAACATATATTACACTTGTAACCTTGCGTCCATCTCCTAAACAATTAATCTGTTATCTACAATGAACATGTCATACTCGGTATTACAAAACAAACGACAAATATTTAACTCTGCTAGCACAAATCAATGAAAATGATTACAGCAGAATTATCAACAATATTACACAGTACAGCAAACTACATTAATATCCGACTCTAACCAAAAAAACAAAAAAAACACAACACCAGACTGACAAACACCATATAATATTATACAAATATCCCGACTTGGTACAGGTACTATATTAGGTTGTCAACCAATTATTTTAAAATAGAAACGTGTCAGCTAACAATTTAATCATGCAATGATTATTTGAACTGCTGTTTCATTGGCGTATACCAATCATATCAATGAAAACAAGGTGACGGTGTCATTGGCGCTATACCAATCATGTCAATGAAAACAAGGTGACAGTGTCATTGGCGCTATACCAATCATGTCAATGAAAACAAGGTGACGGTGTCATTGGCGCTATACCAAACATGTCAATGAAAACAAGGTGACGGTGTCATTGGCGCTATACCAATCATGTCAATGAAAACAAGGTGGCGGTACCATTGGCGCTATATCATTCATGTCAATGAAAACAAGGTGACGGTGTCATTGGCGCTATACCAATCATCTCAATGAAAACAAGTTGACGGTGTCATTGGCGCTATACCAATCATGTCAATGAAAACAAGGTGACGGTGCCATTGGCTTACACCAATCATGTCAATGAAAGCAAGGTGACGGTGTCATTGGTGTATATCAATCATGTCAATGAAAAAAGGTGACGGTGTCATTGGAAGTATACCAATAATGTCAATGAATGCAAGGTGACGGTGTCATTGGCGGTATACCAATCATGTAAATGAAAACATGGTGACGGTGTCATTGGCGTAAGCCAATCATGTCAATAAAACAAGGTGACAGTTTCATTGTTTTTCTCAAAAGTACACAAGGTTACAGTTTGTTTCTTGTGACCTTTGATTTTTTTGCACAGTAGAGTAAGAATGAAATATCTTTAATAACAGAGGATTACGATTTACCACAGAAGAATGTGAAGCATAAGTAACAGAAATCAGTTTAAAAATGAATAATGTAACGGAGTAGGTAGGACAGGAGTGATTATTTAGTCCCTGAAATTGCTCAGTCGTTTCAAAGTTCTTTTATTTAAATCGATAAGTGAATAGTAACATAATCTGGACACTACAATTCAGAAAAGTCATTTTAGATGTCACTATGACGCTATAAACATGTTGAAATTTACATTTTTGATTACACAAAAAGGCCACTTTAAACATTAACAAACTTAAGGTTTTTGGTATAATAGTTCAGATCCAAGGCCTTGTCCAAAAGATAGTTTTACCCAAATTAACATCTTGATAGCCAAAAAAAAAAATTGCGGTTAAATATCTAAATATTTATGACAAGATCTCAAAACACTATTTAACGCCTCAGTTGTTTCTTGGTAGCGTGTTCACCTCGAGTGCTGGAGGTCGTAGGTTCAAACCCGGACGGGGTCAAACAAAAGACTTCAAAATTGGTATTTGCTGATTCTTCGCTATGCACGCGGCAAAAAGGAGTAAGAGCAAAGACTGGTCTCCTCGGCTAATGTGTCCTGATAGGGTGACATTCCTTCTTACATGCACGGACTGTTACCTTGTGAACTACCACATTAATTAGTCTCATCGTGTATGTCTAGTACAACGAAAAGTTAACATTCATATTACATTAACATGTTCTCGTCCTTAATAAGCATTTAATTTGTTAAACAGCCACGCATCATCACCACCAAACGGCTATTTGTGAAGATTTTGCGGTTTTGAATGAAATTTAAAAATTCAACCCTAAAGCAACTACATAAGACATTCAAAAATATAAATATTGAGAAAAAAAATTCACAAACATACCAGCATGACTCCATGATGACATAAAATAAATAATAAAAATGTAGTCAAAGTAGGAAAAGTTGTATTTAAATGTTGAGACAAACGTACGTAGTCAGGATTAACAAACTTATCCAATATAACGACACAAAAGCATTAAATGTGGTCATAATTCTCGCCTGACCATTAAATGTGGTCATAATTCTCGCCTGACCTGCTATGACTTACTTATGAACCTACAATTATCTACAGACAATTGTTTCTACTCCTTAAAAGTTTAAAATCCTGAAATCGCATGACTAATTAAGCAACGTCAAATTACTTTATGTTCAAATAGCGGAGGATTTGTTTTGGATGGGTTATTTATTTTTTTGGACCAAAAGGACAGATTATTTATTTTATGCACTGTTGAAGCATGATTTTTCATTTTCATTAAAACAAGGGACTGATTATCTATTTTCACAATTATATTTATAATATTTGAAAACATACAATTTTTAAATTCTTAAATAAATAACAGTCAATTAAGTCAATCAGAATTAATCATCATCCTCTGGAAGTTAATCTTCTGAATTGCAAACTGCATATCTTGCATACGTACAAGGTATCAAAGCTGGGCTGTAACTCGCCTCTTTTAAAAGTTGTCAAAGATTTTCGCCGAGCGGAGCGAGGCGATAAAAAAATCAGCGAGGAGTCTGGGGTTCGCTGAAGGCCCCAAGAAGCTATAGAAAAAATGGCGCAAAATCATGCATTATGCGCGTTTCCCAGACCCTTTCTTAATCTGAAACGCAAGTTCTGTTTTAATTTTCTGACAATATTCTGGTCTCAAAGCAAAATATATAGATTCGGTGTAAGACTTTTAGTTTTTAGGGACAACATCAAAAGACCAATATGTAGGACAAAGCAAAAAATGTTTCAGTTTGCAGAAAAACTTTTTATGCCTGTCAATTGTGTTTTTTTATTCAAATTAAGTTAAGAGGGGGCTGATTATCATTGATATAACTATGTAAAGTCAGTTTTTATAACACATTTCAATTACAACTTGATGTAGTTCCTAACTGGAATACAATTTAAAGTAGTTTGTAATAGACAAAAGGTCCTTAAATATAATAAAACTCAAGTTTAAAACATAATTACTAAATCACAAAAAGAATGCAACTCTAAGAGAATAGTCATAAAGAAGGGCAATCAATGAACAAAAGACAAACCCGGGAACAGATAAAACACAAAACGACAAATATTATAGACAATCAACACTGAAAAAGTAAAAATAAATGAGAAACATGGATCTCAAAAAACAGGGGCTACGTCAGAGGGTGAACAGAACTTGCTTCTTGCAAGACACTTGCCGTGAAAACAATTTGATATGAAGACAAGCTTTTGTTTTGAAATTTCCAACATGAGGCATTTGCCTCAATGTAGTTACGGCCCTGTAATAAAAGTGAGGTAAATGTTCACGAGACAATATACCTCAAGTGAAATGAAACCCATTTTCTAACATTTCAAATATATTAATATTTATATTATTAAAAGATTTGGGAAGTTTTTCCCGAAAAAAATATGAAAAAAGACGAATTTTGGAAGAATCTGGTGCCATCTCATACTTCAGAATAGCATTTATAAAATGGCTTAAAAGACCTGCCAAGTTATTTTCAATACATTGTAAGTCAGGTTATTTATTTTCAAACTACCACAGAACAAACCATTCATTTTTGTTATTATCAAGGCTGAGTTATTTATTTTCAAAATCCTCCTGCCCCCCTCCCCCCAGAATATCAAATGGTCGTCCCCTTACAAACTATGACTAGTGCATATTAGACAGTACCGTTACATTGGTAAAGCTGCAATTATATTAAACTAAATAAAAATATAAACTCAGCATATGAATATTTACTGCTGTAAGAAGGGTGCTAAGAAAAGGCCTTATGCTATGGGGTATATACAAAAACAAAAAGAAAAGATAAACATATAGTACCATTGTCTTCAGACAAAACGATAGCACTTAGAAAACTAAGATTGAGCAAGATCAATCCTACCCACAACCAGGGTTTTCTTCCTACTATTTGTACATATGAACATGCAGGTAAATGTAGCCTGTGGATTGCAAAAGTCGATAAACCGTATGTCTTATGGCTGTTTTTGACATTGAGTTGGTGTCTCGTGGCTGTTTCTTTGTCATTGGGTTGGTGTCTCATGGCTGTTTTTTCATTGAGTTGATGTCTTATTGTCTTTAACCCCACGTCCCCTTTTATTCATATATTCCTGACTGTATTTGCAAGTAATCAAAAGGATTTTACTAATTTTATTGTTCGTGTAATCCTTAACATTGTCCAAATAAATTTGATCATTTTTATAAGTCAATTTACAACCACTTTAAAATGTTGGCACGGTATTGCCTAATTATCACAAAGATGGCACTGTTAATTTGTTTGCACCTAGGATCCAATCGACTGTGCAGAAATGTCAAAGCATTTTTTTTTCTAAACTTAAGAATTATACTCTTTGTATGGCTTGCATAACTTGTCACTTTCGATTACAATAAACCCGGGAATGAAATATCCGAGATTTCTGACAGATAACAACATCAAACTAGCATGAACGTGTTGATATATAACAATGACAGAACATACCAATGGGATAATCAAAACTCATAAGTCGAAGAGACCGATAAATCCTGTCGAAAAACGATGAATGGAAAAAAAGAGTCTATCAACCACTGTTTTTAGTCTCTCTATATTCGCAGTTCAGAATATTTGATTTTAATATCAAATAGTACTTGACATGACGTGTTTTTTGTCTCAAGTTTATATTTAATCTTTAATTTTTGTGGTAAGGTTAGTAATTATCATTAATTTTGACATCTTTCAACCTATAAAACGCGATTGTTTTACGAAATTTCCAGTGTATGATCAATATTTTTTTTTTTGGATTTCATTTGCAAGTTGTTTTGTTTTTAAGTTATTTGTTTAAATTAAATTTTATTTTATCTATTTATTAATTATATGTTCTGTTAAATAAATTGGGGCTTGTTTTTTCTTTTGTTTTTTGTTTTTTTGTTTTGTTTTTTTCGTCTGTTTGATTGTTCTATTATCTGCTTGTTTCCGCTTTGTTTAAAATAAACACACCAGAAGAAACCTTCAAGATTTACTATTCGCAAATGTGTCTGTAACAATAAAAACAAATAAAATCGGTTTCAAACAAAATAAACAAATCGCTTGGAGTAAACTATACCCGAAGGAGCTGCAAACCCAGTTTTCATGCGTTTACAATAAATCATTAACTGGAAATTTACACTCCAATGATATCCGACTAGCAGTGAAACCCATTAGTAGTAATATGAACAATGCTCACTTGTTTTTATAATCATATAACAGTCATCCAGTTGAAAAGTCGTCTACACAGACACTTACACCGACACCGATACCTACACTGACTACAAAAATATAGGGACCGTATCAAAATGTCGAAACATATTGAATGAATGACCTCGTAAAACTTTGTTGCAGGTATAAAAAAAATACTTTCTGTCTTTTTTCTTATATAATGTTTTATTCGGAATATGCGCTAGAAACACCGAATGTTCTTATTAGTTTTGGATTATTTTAAGTATGAATATGTGATATTCCATTCATTTCTTTTCAATCTTTCAAACGGAATACCGTGAGTGTTGCGGTAGAATATACAATTGGCGAATTGAATTGCTAGAAAGCATTCGGAATATAGATAAAGTATCTTATTTCTGATGAAGCGAGCATATATCAAATCAATGTATATCAACAGGTCTTAGGATTTGTAATGGACGTTTCGGTGACTCAAGTATAAAATAAAAATAGTTGTAGTGTAAAATTTCACCAAAAATAAAAAGCAAAAAGTAAAAAAAAACAACTGCAAAAAGTAAAAACGAAATGCAAAAAGTAATAAAACAATTACAAAATTACAAAAACACTAAATGTTGCCAAAATAAAACAAAAACTTTTTTTGCCGAAATTCCCCAAAATACAATGTCCCAAAACTAAACAGAAAAATTAAATTTTGACCCCTCCCCCCTTTTACAAAAAAAAATATATGTATATTAAAGTTATATTTGACAACACACAGCAACACCAGTGTTGAAATCGTGTGAGGTGGAAGTTCTTCATAAGAATTTTTCAATTTTATACCCAGGTATAAAAATTAGTAAAGGAAAGTTAATAAATTCGTTTTCCTAGTGTTATCAGGGACGACGGAATTTTACAACCGGTGTAAAATTCCGTACACCCCTGATTACACTCAGACAACACACACTATCATCTATATATTCATACATTCAGTTTCACGCTATAAAAGACTTTACACGTTCTTGTTTCTGATTAAAGTTTTACTAATCTACACAAAGCCCCCCCCCCCTTTTTTTACAAAGTACTATGTTAAGATCAGTTAATTCTCAGCAACTAAACAGAGCTAATAAAGTAGCAGATCATTCAAAATAAAAAGTTTTATACAGTATTTAGAATGTAAATTAGAAAAAAAATTAATATAAATGCGTGTGATCGTTGTACATATTGAGATGACCCCTTCTCAAAAAGGTTACCTGTAGGCATAGGTGTAGGTGTAAGCGTCGGTATCGAATATTTTTCGAAAATGTCTAGTAGTTACTACTGTAATCACTAGCCAGTCAACACTGAGGTTGTGAGTTCGAACCCCGCTCGTGCGGGTGCACTCGACTCCAATCTTAATTGACTAGGATTGTCAGTTTTCCTATCGAAGGTCGGTGGTTTTCCCTGGGCACTCCGGCTTCCTCCACCAATAAAAACTGGCCGCCACGTAATAGCCCAAAAGCGGTGCTTAAAAGTGGTGTTAAAAAACAAAAAAAATCAAAATAAAAAATCCGGTTGAAAATCATACGAAACAATTATCTCCCTTTTAAATAGAACTTTCCGATGTCTGATACTTTTTCCACAATGACTCTATAGTTAACTATTACTTTTCATCGTACTGGTTAAGAAAATGTTAATGTAAAAATACCCCCCCCCCCCCCCCCCCCCCAAAAAAAAAAAAAACAAAAAAAAAAAACAAAACAAAAAACAAAACAAAAAACAAAAAACAAAAAACAAAAACAAAAAACAACATGCATCATTTAAGTTATCAAATAACGCTGTCATTATGCTTGAGAAGAATATCAGTCTAAAATAGCGCTTCGGCTCGAAGAAATTTATAGTCAAGGAAACATGTCAATAGTCAATTGTCCAGATGCAGTCGAAACTTAACCTGACTATTTCAAGAAAATTTGCCTACAAATTCTTATTATATGCAGCAAAGATTATCACTTAAAATAAAGTCCAAGTGATAAATTTATTAAGGCTGTTCGCATTAGACTAGGAGCCGGAGATGTTTTAGGGTAGGGTGACATGATTTATATACTGTGGACTCACTGATATATATGCATTCGGACATTGCTTGATGAAATTTGGGCTCAACGTAGTACCAGGTACAGTTCATAATCATATCATATCAACATGTTCCCGTCCCGATTATGCCTGTAATGTTTCCGAATGGATGTTAAAAGACAATCCGCCAATCTTTGCCTGCGTGTTTATTAATAAAACAAACTAATATTTTATACAAATTTGACTTTTGCTCTGCATTTTGATAATGAGTAAACGCGTGCTAAGGTATAGGATTTTCCTCCCTTTGTTTATTATGATACATTAACACTGTAAACTGAAAATTTGTGCACAAGTACATGTACACTTGATAACCATATGATTTCAGATCAGCAGGTTACATTTTGAGTCTGAATCTTTTACTGGTTATTCATGTTATTCAAGTGATCGCAATCAAAACATCATTTCTTCATTATGGAAAGTGGTCGGCGTCAAACTTTTGGGCCGTTTTTTGCTCTTTGGTCGGGTTGTTCACTTTTTGACACATTCCCCGTTTCCAATTTCTATTCTATTTTGTTTGATCTTTGCGTTTGTTGTCATTTGGGATATTTGTTGATGGCAGATCTTCAAGAATCTTTGTCGTTTTATAATTTGAATGTGTGTTTGGTTGCTGTCTCATCGACGTAAAATCCTTGTCTGCTTTTAATTGCATTTACCATCTTATACTAGTTAATGAAAATAACACTTCATACAGTTGGTGTGTTCGAATCGCTTTTCTTGATTTACCTTATTGAAAAACGATCTTATCTAAAATGGGACAAGCTACAAAATGTATATGACCAAAATGGACATAACAAAAATATTCAATACCATTTACAGATAATTTTTGCCGAAGGGAGTTGGAAATTTGGTCTCTAAAAAAATAAGAATATGATCAAAATAATGCAATAATTATTCAATTAGTCAATAACCTTTAACCAAGTTAAACAGTTAAATATGCTGTTTTTAATAATGTAATATACCGATCCGAAATCCGCGGAGGGATTCAAATCCCGAGGAGCAATTTATGAAAAATTTGTAACAGTGGGTAGGTAAAATCTGTATACGATTCCCACAGAGCATAATTCCTCCGTCGGAATCGGATCCAGATCTTAATTACCCACCGTTACAAACTTTTCATTAATGCTCCTCGGGATTCGGATCACTCCGCGGTTTCGGAGTTGGATACCCGGTGTGGTATCTACCATGGCCAGTTTTCTGTTGTGAGCCTGCTTTCCATCGAATGTTTCTGTTTTTTTATTTCCTTGTTCATGTAAATGACCATTCTGCCATTAGCTGCACTAAGTAGTTTTTTTAACTTTTGCAAAATAAGGCCTAGATAGGCAAAAGGGAGTGTGTGCGTGCATACAACTGGTTTAATATAAAAATAATAAGATGTGGTTTGATTGCGAATGAGACAACTCTCCAATAGAGACCAAATGACATAGAGGTTAACAACTATACATTTGTAGGTCACAATACGGCCGTCAACAATGAGTAAAACCCATACCGCATAGTAAGTTAAAAAAGCCCCAAAATGACAAATGTAAAACAATTCAAAAAAGAAAACTAACGACCTGATTTAAGTTCAAAACAATAAACGAAAAACAAATATGATAAACAGCAACAAACTACAGGCTCTATCACAATGTATGCCTTTATTTAGTCAGGACCATTTGTAGTTTTATATTTTCTTTTCAGGTTTTTTTTCGGAGGAGTCAGATGTTCGTGTTTGATGTGGTCTATTGTAGTGTGTGGTATTTTTGGTGATAATTTTTATTTATTTTTATGTTTTATTACCAATTTTATTATGAAGATGTAAAATTAATATTCTTATTTTAATGTTTGTTACATATTCTATCAACGACATAATTTTTACAATGCTCATCATACCTTCCAATTCCCTTTTAAAATTAAAATGATTTTAACATAATCTTCTACTTTATAAAACTATAGGAAACTATCTATATATACATTTATACATAGATACATAGATGGTTAATCATTTTTGTTTTCTTTTGGAAGGAAAACTGACCTTATATTATGACCAGTGTCACGTTTGTCCTGTCAAAGACGTATTGTACTTAATGAGTCGCATTCCACAACATATCGACGTGTACAGCATTGACGAGTTCGTACATGTATATGTCATTGCCTTATATATTCCACAACATTTATAATTCTGATGCACTTGTGTCAACTGCGGAAAATTTTGCTGACCTTGACATTCTTATCGGTGACCAAGATTTAGGATGGTTTCCACAAAATAACAATTTCATCACACGAACAAAACGCTTGTTAAAAGCGCAATATAAGAGAAAGTTCATTGAGAGGTTACAAAGCAACAAAATATTACCAGACAAACGTAGTTTCCTGTAATTTTCATTGGATATCTGAAAGTATTGTGCAAAATCACCAACTGTTGACGGCAAAATGGCTATTATCGACAGTAAAACAATACTTATAAGTGTAATAGTAAATCTACGTTGATCTTTTTGCCAATCTTTTTCTTTATTATTTCTGATCTCAAGTTCTTGACGAACTGACCTTGCGTTATGAACAGCACATATCAAATACGCATTGCAGAACATCAATATCAACAATGGCGAAACATGAAAAAGAGCAATACATGTAAAATCATAAATCTGATAATACACAGACTGCGATCGGAAGGTTGTTTTTTTCATTGCGTACATATTGTTTTCTCCAACAACAGAATAACAAAAAAATCTTGGCACGGATATTAATATTGTAAATAAAAGTATCAACACAATACGGGTTTTGGCTCGATGAATACTACAGTACGACCTTGCCCATAGCGGAGCCTTTACAAAAATAAATCTATCAATTGTTACTCCTACTGTAAGTAATACACTTGCCGCCATAAAGAAATTAACAAGTGGAAAGAATATATATGCATTAAACACTTGCCAGTCGTGTGATGTAGTTTTCCCCGATATTGACATGTGAATAAATGACAACAGCAGCGCGCACATGTCAGTCATCGCTAGTATTTTGAGATACAGATAAGGAGACTCGTTTAAATTTCCTTTGAATAAAATAATAAGATTCAAAATATTTCCACATATTCCAAACACACACAAGATTGGTCCAATGTAATTGTTTATCACCAAGTCAGCTATGTCTCGGCTCCTGGCTGATTGGTTATCGAATATTTGGCTTTCATTTAAGGAGTCGTTGTATGACATCAGAAAAACCAAAGTAGAATTCATTTTACCTGAAATATATAGATACAAATGTTAAACAAAAACATTGTAGCATGTATCAAACACGATATTAACATATAAGAATTAGCAAATACATTTTATGCAACAATTATAATCAATATAAAAATAAGAATATGTGGTATGATTGCCAATAAGACAACTCTCCACCAGATAGCAAATGACGTAGAAGTTAACAACTATGGGTCCCGTACGACCTTCAACAAGGAGCAAAGCCGATACCGCATAGTGAGCTTTAACAGCCAACGAAATGACGAACGTAAAACAATTCAAACGAGAAAACTAACGGCCTGATTTATGTAAAAAATCAATAAACAAAGGCAATTATGATATACAGCAACATATGACAACCACTGAATCACAGGCTCCTGACTTGGGACAGGCACATACAGAAGTCCTTTTCAACAGATTTGTTTCAGTTTGTTTTTTTAATATATGCAGCTATATCATTTTCCTGGGTTGGAGGGAGAGTTGAGTACTCATAAAAATCAAAAGCATTTTTATATGCCTGTCTGAAGCGAGGAATCTGTAGTCAAGTGGTTGGCAATGATTGTCATTCGTCATAACTGGTTTAGGGTTTAACATACATGTACATTGTAAGTAGCTTGAACTATTTATTTTTGTTTTGCCATCCCCGGGGACTTTTGCTGCTTACTACATGGTATAATGGTGATTTTCTGCTTTCTCTACGGAATGACTTTTGCACATTGTTATATGCCGTATGGTAACCTGTAGTTATAGGCCGTATGGTAACCTGTAGTTATAGGCCGTATGGTAATCTGTAGTTATAGACCGTATGGTAACCTGTAGTTATAGGCCGTATGGTAATCTGTAGTTATATGCCGTATGGTAATCTGTAGTTATAGGCCGTATGGTAACCTGTAGTTATAGGCCGTATTGTAACCTGTAGTTATAGGCCGTCTGGTAACCTGTAGTTATAGGCCGTATGGTAACTTGTAGTTATAGGCCATATGGTAACCTGTAGTTATACGCCGTATGTTAACCTGTAGTTATAGGCAATATGGTAACCTGTAGTTATACGCCTTATGGTAACCTGTAGTTAAAGGCAATATGGTAACCTGTAGTTATACGCCGTATGTTAACCTGTAGTTATAGGCCTATGGTAATCTGTGATTATCTTCATCCTTGCCCTTTGTTCTTTTGTGAATAGTTGATTCGTCGGCATCATACACGTACGTCAAAATTATTTAAACTTTTGCAACCAACCGTGCGAGACCATCATTGGTAGTCAATGTCGTTAAACACCCCCTTTTAGTAGTACTTTAGCAACATCCGCTTCACTTCAAAAACTAAACATATCAAATATTTTCAGGGGATACGTGTCTGAATATTGTTATTTGTTTGACTTACATGTACACGGCCATTAGTCGTATTGTTTTTTTAAAAGGAAAACCAAATTAAAAACTAATTTTGAATTTTTATCCGGAAAGTGAGGGTCCCGCATAGCAATAACATTTAACTAAGTATTATTGATGTGATGCACTAAATATTTAATCTGTACGTGGGCTATTATATATTTATTTAATGATCATACTGAACTTTTTGCACTCCAGTTTTTTTTTAATTTCTGAGAAATTTCTTAAACAGGTCGAAATATCGTGGAAGGTAACATAAACAACAATGTTCATACAAAATATAATTTCCTATCATGGGAATTCGACAATCACCAAAATTTTTAGATTTTGATTGATTGTAGTTTGACTAACGTCAAGAGGCAAATATTTCATGCATGTTCAGAACGAAAACAAATTAACAGTAAATACAAAAGGTAGGTCATGCAATAGGGAGTGACGGGAGGGAAAATTGGAATGCCAACTGAAGAGGAGAATATATTGGATACGGACACAATTTTAAACAGGCAACCTACGAACCTATAGAGAGTTGTTGCAAAGGTTCTTTACACGCAGAGAGCGTTGGACTCTCTACACTAGTCTTTGGATTTCACGTCCCCATTCTGACCGGACGTGGCTGCGTATTTATACATCATGCACAGCCAAACGGACACCATACTCTCGCAAGGGTTTTACTGCGGGTCCGAAGAAGATTAAAGGGTTCTTTTGTTTATACCCAGTAAATTTTGGGGTTAAAGATGTTAAAGTTGAGAATCTATACCTGAACCAGGGGATGCCAGAGGGGTTAAAGAGTCCCATTAAAAACGAATGGACAGGGGTTCCCTTGGCGCAATTCATCCCACTCGGCCTGGGTTGGCACTTGCAATGTACAATACTGCTTAAATTTCTCTTAATGTATAGTTAGTATAATTTTCGAGTCCATTAAATAAAATAATGATACTTCTGGAATGAAATTTCAAATTTTGATGAAAAGTGTATGCTAACATCATTACCCTTTGGTTTATTCATCATTTTCTATTGATGTTAACTTTAAAATATGAAAGAAACAATTCTAATAGGGTTTTAATGTAGGCATCACTCTTCTTTGGGACTACCAAAGTACCCTCTATATGTATATCACAATGAAACAAAAACAAATAGTGTATGCATAATAATTTTCACATCGTTGAAATATAAGCTACATGTAGCAGTATATGCAAACCGTTGTCTTCTTTATAGTCTTTGGTTAGATAATTCAAATAGTTCAACTGAAGTTTAAAAAAATCAAAGCTAGTTGTATCAAGAAGCAAAACAAATCTGTTCTGATATGTGTAAATGATCTTAAATCTTAAATGATGTCATAAACACATTTTGTCGAGGAAAATCTAATTACATTTTGTCCCTTGTTACCTTCAAGACTTATCCAATACGTACAATAGGAAAACACTACAATAATGATGAATGGACAAAAAGATTAAGTTCTACATTGTATCAATCTTATTTTCAACATAAATTCTTCGTTGCGACAGCTTTTATGCGGAAAAAGATATTGGAAGAAGCAATTAACTACTTGCAAGTCCCGGTGGTCGCGTGACAGACAAGCATACTGTTGACTTGACCAACTTTTGACGTCAAACAGAATTCGAACGTGCAAATAAGAAAACTCGTCAAAGATATCAGGCTTATAAATTTGTACGCCAGACGCGCATTTCGTCTACAAAAGACTCATAAGTGACGCTCGAATAAAAAAGATAAAAGGCCAAATAAAAGTAAGGATGATGAATATTCTTGTATCAAATATAGAAAAGGAATTTTTGAACTTATTGTTTGTCTTTGTTTGTACAGGTAATAGGTTGACATATCGCAAAGACATGCACACACGGACACACACACACACACATACAGGTATATGTATATATGCAAATGGAGTTGAAACGATGTCACAACTCTCGCTAAATTCTCGCTGAGGGAAGGACGAAAATCTGGTACCGCAAATTTATAGTTCTAGTTAACATTGATTATTTCATTGCCTTAAGGATGTACTTACAAAAAAAATGTACTACGTGAAATTAAAAAATATAGAATAAAAAATTGACACTATAAGCTAGAAGAGCATTAGTTAAGGAACACAATAATTAAGCTAAAAATATTGATAGGTTATGGAACGCCTTTTTGAGATATTTGATATTTTAAAATGGCGGGAAAAGCCAACTCGGACTTTTACCTTATATTTAGCATTGACATTATTTGGGTCTCAAATCGTAAGAAAAAAATTTAGAATCTGCTTAAATTTTAGAAATGACCTTTTTATGAGCTATTGAAGTCTTCTATGAAAAGAAAAATTGCTGAAATGGGGGAAAATGTTTTACCCTGTATCGTAGGAAAAATATCAAGAAGTCCGAACATCTGACAAACATTCATAAACTTGACCTAAGTACATCATTAATTTCAGACGAAGTATATCTATACATACAAATGATCATATCTCAAACATTCTCATATTTTTGCCACAAATAGACGAATATTGTATGCTTCATATGTCCAAATATCAAAGTCATCAGAAATAAGAATTTGCAAACAAAAAAGAAAAATAATTTAACGTACGAATACGTTTAGATAATAGTAAATTTTGCAATTCTCTTAATTTTGTACACAAATCCATGAACTAGCTGATTTTGTGTGAAAATCACTCCCGTTTCCTCACATGAATTTCAAATAAAACTTTAAAGTATAGAGCAGTAAACAAAATGTACATTTAGCAAGCAAGTATTTCTCAGACATAACCGACAGCAGTGAGATTGTATATTATAGAAAAGAACAAAAAGAGAACAAAACATAGGAAATATGGCTGTATTTATAGATTATCGTTGGTTATCTCAACGAGATTGAAGACGTTGTTAATTTCCTTGACAACGGCACGTGTTCACTTAGTTTCTAGCGATAATTTTCATATCACTCGACTCCGTTTTCATATCACTCGACTCCGCTGAGAACGGAAATTATCAGTCAACAAGATCAAAGGAAAAATACGTAAAATAGCGATATATATCTTTTATTGACGATGTTTAAATGTATTTTGTATTATTTATGTCGTGAAGGATTAAGTAGTGCGACTAATCATAATATACGACCCTAATCTTAAATTTTAGATCACATCCCTTTTCGAAAAGACCAAACCATCGAAATACCAGTAAATATAATGGATTTAAGAAAGATCAATTTATCAAAGACATAGACATAAAGAAATAAAGAAACCGTATAATATGACACAATATCAAGGAATCCTTGCAGTTAATTAAAGCAACTTGATAATACATCACCTTACTTGTTTATAATGTTGCCATGCCTTTATCATATTAAGATATAAAGCCTAGTATATATATATAGCTTCATTCATTTTATATCTAAAATATCTTTCATTAGATTGAAGTTTGCAGTCTAGAAATAATCAGTAGCGATGAATTGTTATAACTACTTAAAAATTTTCTATTATTTAAAAAGATTGTATATATCATTTTATTTTTGTTTTATTAAAATTAAAGATATAAATGACTTACTTCAGAATAAAAATCTATCTGTTTCCAGTTTTACTTTTGCATATTTAGTATACAATCTGACGACCTTTTTTCTATATTT